GGTCTCTTCCGCGTCCAACCCTTTGCCTTTGAGGCGTTTACACAAAACGCGCCCTTTCCAAAATACCTGATACACTTCGTAGCCTCGGATCAGGATCAGCCTATTTTTGCAGATGAATTACTCGGTTATCAGACTACTTGGACATGTCCGATTGCGCAAGCGAGTGACGTCACCACCACCACCCAACCCTGCGCCGCGGACGCCCAGACGGGACGGCGCTGGCCGACAAAGGGGAGGGGGCCCAGTCAGTAAACAGTCATGGGCTGCGTCCGTCGCAAAGCATTCGCACTGCACAGGAGAGATACAGAGCCGACTGAACGACTCCACTGCTGACAGAGGCGTTGGGTCACACTCATACAGGGTGGCTGCTCTGCCCCGCTGAAGAGTGCGACCGGGTTGCCGTTGTTCTAACAGGGCCCTAAGGCGCTGTGATAAAATTTGGTAGGCAAACCCGGCCTGCTATACTTACGCCCACTAAAAACCGATCACTAAAGATGTACTCCAAACTGAAGTTGCGAGTTTACTTTTAAACTTAATAAACAAGCGAGAAACGAGAAAAATAGTTTTAACATTATTGTAAGGTGTTGTTTTGTTTTGTTTTTCGAGCCAACTTGTTGATGGTGCGCTTTATACTAATGACTTCAACGATTGAATTTTTAATGATGTCTGCGCTGCATATCAGCAGCAGCCCTGCCGGAGGCGTGAAACATTTCAACGAACTGTTTCGTCTCCTCCGCCCCCCCCCCCCTCTCCTCCCGGCTCCTCTCACCCACTCCCGCTGCTCTTGAGTGAGTAGCGACGTTTCCTCATTAAATCCTTCACCTTATGCATATATTCCGACCCAATTTTCTTCCTGGTGCCCACCGGCGAAAAACAACCCCCCCCCTTTTCCTCGATTCGTCATCCTTCTCTACCTTCCCACATCATTTGTAAAACGCTGAGGCAGTAATAGCTCTCTGATCGCAAAAGAAATAAGGCTGAATTGTCGTCCAGTGAGAGCAGATTTCTTCCTGCGTGTGCGGCACGGGCACCACCCTCGGCTGGCACCGCCATGGCACCGCCCCGTGTTTGTGTTTTCATTGTGCTGTACGACTCTGCCCCGAGGTTAGGCCGAAGAGTAAACACTTTACTAAAGGTGGTAAGAGATCTCTTCCAAATATTAAACATGACTTTTACGACGGGACGCGCATGGACTCTGCCGCCGCGCGCAAAGGTATTGCTCTCTCTCTCTCTCTCTCTCTCTCTCTCTCTCTCTCTCTCTCTCTCTCTCTCTCTCTCTCTCTCTCCCTCTCCTCCCCTCACCTTCCTGGCGAGGCGAGGGAGTGAAGGGTGCAACAAGGATACGGGAGATGTACACAGTGGCATCCGGAAACACCCTGCAGGTCAGTGCTCCCAAACACTTGAATCGCCCTCAAAATTGGAATATTTTTGGTCCCACCTGTGTATCGAAATATGATCAGAATGCTGGTGTGGTGTAGGATGAAATTACGCAGGGCAGCAGAAAGATCGTGACTTTATTACTCGTCGTAATTTCCGGAATGTGATTTTAAAAAAGCATTTTTTTAACGCGTTGTGCGACCTGCGACCTTTTCCCAATATCCCACCAGGTTGTTTGGGGTGAGTCAATTTCTTTTTCAAAACACACCTTACGTTACAATCCTAATCTTTTTAGACTTGTTTTCATCCTTGAATAAAAAGTGCTGCATTGAGCTGTAATCTCGCAATTTGTGCTCATGCACAGTGAAAATAATTTGCTTTTCTTTTGAAGATTCTTCAGGGCAGCTTATATATCAGCAACAATTTTTGAATGAGTTTGGAATTTCTCTATGGTGTCGGTATTTTATGTCCCCAGAGACGGGCAGAGGCCAGGCAGGCATCGGGTGCGGAGCGGGAGCACGAGCCAACCACACACATACCTGCCCGCCGCATCGAGCGAGACAGCGGTGGCCATTCTTTACAGAATAAACTGGCGTTTTCCGTCCGTTCGCGTTAAAACAAACTATAATCGTGCGTTGTCTGCCAAGGGGGTGCGGCCATCACTTAACCTATGTAAAGGTGGGGAGGGGAAGGGAGAGAGGGGGGAGGGG